TTTGAATGCCCTAGCTAAGGGAATCAAAGGATGTAATACCCTAAGTTAGATGAGTCTCTTTCAATTAAAATGTCCCTAACTTTTGAATGTTTCGAAGCGTCAGAGAAAAAGAATAAATATGAAGCAGTGTGATGGTGGGAGGGATCGAGTCAATTAAGAAATAATGTGCTTTCTCAAGCAGTCCTATTTATTTAAAAAGAGTCACCAAGGCAAGGCTTTGCATCCAGCCGGAGATCCTATGCAAGTAGATCAAGAGTCACTACTGCTTCGCTGTGGTCAACAAATGCATCCAATTAAGCAGTACCAGGAAAGTAAGGACTCGGCTGTAAACGTGGCCGGATAGTTTGAAACCGAATAGCCTCACTAATAGGGGCTATTGTTCAGTATGGAAGTTCCCATTTTCCAATCAGGAAAATACAGCCCTCTCTGGGCTCTGGCTGACTGATCCCTTCCCACCTACAGCTCAACAATCTGCCACCAGCGAGGGGCTTTTATTACCTCCCTTCCCAGGAAATGTTAGGCAACTTCCTAGTAAAGCTGCCCGAAAGCAGGAATGGACAGCAAAAGGGCACTCCTCAGGAATCCACAGGTCCATGCCTGGCCAGATTTTCTTTTCAGCAGGAAAGAAACTTTGACTAGAGAGCTCCGGGCGAGGAGACACCCCCAACCTGGCCCAGACCGCTCCTCCCCGCAGCCGCCGGCGGCGCTCGGCTCTCTCCCCACCCTACTTCAGGCTTTATTTAATAGCCAACGAGTCCGCGCACGGGGTCCCCGCACAGTGGCCAGGGATTGGGGACTGTCTCCCTATTTGGGGAGAGGCACCCACCAGGGCACCTGGGTCTTCAGCGGGCACTGGCCGGTCAGCTTCCACAGCTTGCGCGTCCCTGCCAACGCTCAGGAAAGCCAGATGCGAAGAGCCCGGTTTACACGTACCCAGCAGAGACAGGCGCCTATATAGTTCATGTGTACTTTTTTTTTTTTCCTATTAGGCTTTTTCAGCGCTGTGTATTTACCAGACCACACTTAATACGTTCAAAACCTTGTTTGGTGTAGATGTGTGGCCGGACACTTGAAAGCCTGGATAACTTTGATGTTTTCGACTATAAATCCCCACTTGTACTTAATGGTTACAAATGGTTTTATTTACTTGTCGTCCTATCTACACATTTTAATCTATTTAACCAAACAGCAGAGGCATATTTCATTCCCCACTCCCCGAAAAGGAAAAGCAGGGATCGAGGCCTCTAATTTTTTTTGGACCTTCCATTTCTTTGGTTGTGAAAGCGTAAGAGCTCCAGATTGCAGCATTGATTAGTCTTCAAACCCGGCTGCAAAAAGGCTCCCCTTCTCCACTCCATCTAAGGAGATGTTGATGTATATTGTAGCTGCAAGGTGTTAGATATACTTGAGCAAGTTGTTCCCAGGATGTAAATTAGGTCCCAAAAGCTGTTGTCCAAATCGAAGAAACAGAGAAATTAATCTGGGAGACTATCCATCATCACCGGTAATAAAGAGAGCGACATGGATGAGACAGATGATATGATTAAGGGGCTGTGGTCGTTTTAATTAACTTTTTGCTGTCCTGTAATGATCAAACTGGTCACCAGACCCGGTCAATAAGCATGTTAATATCAAACAAATAAAACCAGGGATGATTAAAAACCTCCTGGTTTATTAAATTTGAAATTCAAATGAAATTTATGCTGCAGATGCATACAGAATGCTAATAGATTTTAGCTTTATTGAAAGTGGATCTCACAGGTTTGTAAGAAACAGCAGAATATCCATCTACCCCTCTCCCTGCCAGCACTTAAACTTCATATGGGGTGGGGAAACTTTTAATTAATGTTAGAAAGGCTGCACTTCCTGTCTTTCTTCCCCTTCCAAACCTCCATATTATTATGGTATAATACTCAAGAGCAGTGATCAATATCACCAAAGGTAAGCTGAACTGGATGTGCCATGAAATGCTTTGCTGGACAGGCTCTATCTACAATGGATTACAGATGTTCCCTCCTGTGGGCGATTCAAAAATAATAGAGTCACTTCTGCAAAGCGGAGAAAGAGCTGCTATTAAGACCAGTTTCACTGAAACCAGAAGCAAGATTATTGTTGTTTTAATTTTTGGTCAATTATATAATTCTCTTTGTCTTTCCTTTTAAATTCTGCTGTCTTATGCCTTATGACAAACACTAACCACTTCTTTTGGGGTAGGGGGTAGGATGAGAAAAAACCTTTGACACTACTACTATAAAATAAACACCTAACTTAAAAATGGGAAAAAATGGAATACACATATACATGAAAACATAAATATATTATTCCATAATGAAGAAAGATGCACGTGCAAACCTTTGTGAAAATCTGCTGCAAGCCAACCTTACGCAAACTGAGAAATCCAGTGTGTTCATTAAATCCATACCAACACTGTGATCCATTGTTATAGGCAGAATTACATACGATTCTAAAGTGAATTTATATAAATGAAATCTTAGAGGTAGACACTCAAAATTGTAATCACACGATGCTGAGTTTTTCTAATTCCTAGGATTTTTAAGGAAACAGTGGTTAATGCCTCTGTTTACTCTCAGAATCAGTATTTAACTTTTCAATAGTCCTGCCTCACTTCCTACCAGAGATAGGAGGATAAAAAGATAAAATAAATAACTATTCATAGAAGACAGTCTTCCCTCAAACCTTTTTTTCTCCACCTTTGAGGATGATGGTATTGGTTAGAATTAAACCCCAAATTTGAACAACTGTATATTAGGTTCTTAAAATGAATATCATTATAGAAGGAGACCAAAGCAATGAAGTTAATTCTCTTTTATTTGTTAAACAGAGTTCCCTCCTTTCCCCCACCCCTTCCTCCTTCTGGGCTGGCCTGTCACGCCTTCTCAACACGCTAAAATCATTCAGAGTGGCTTGCAGGGAGAAACACGACATTTATGGTAAGCGTCAGCCTTCAGAGAAAGAAAGCAGTTCATTAATTTACTTCACACTTACTTCAAAGTATAAGAGTGTACCTTACCCCCTTAATCAATAGATATATATGATATACAGTCAATATCCCAACACAGTTAAAAAGGGGTCAGAAACACACACTCTCATACCACGAACATCAGCCTCAACTCTGCTCCATGAAACAAATGCTACAACCTGACTTTGGAGTTCAGTAAACCCCAGGAGGATTTTTTTTTTTTTGACATCTCCAGAAGCTGTGACGTACTTGAGGAAGGTTCAAAAACAATAATAAAATTAACACGTTTCCCCAGTCAAAACAAAACACTTCTCTCAGCTAGTATCATTTTAATCAACTCCGACTTAAAATTAGATTTCTGGGAGCATTTGCAACTGCTTAAAAATGTGAATTACTTTTTTTAAACATATGAATATTCAATAGGGCTCCAAGGGCTGTGGACTTTTTGTTACACTGGTATGGTGCTTTCTGCAGTTTATGATGTTCCCTTGTGGTGGCAGTGAAATTGTAATTACATTTCTGAAGGCAACTAATAACACAAATGGCAAGCAAGTTCTAAAACCCACCAAATTTGAACTGTCTATTGACATGCATACACACTCATAGATATCTGGCCCAAACGCCATTAGACACAGACGCCTCCATACATGTGGTCCACGATTTGTCAACAGCTTGTTTCTATTCTCAGATAAATAAAACTCAAAGATTTCAATCAAAATCCTGATTCTTTTTCTCAGAAAGAGGCGGCGGGATTTCCTGCGAAAACTCCTAAATACCATAAAACGCTCAATTTCTCACCCCCAGAAAAAACAATACTCTCCCACCCCCTTCTCTATCTAATCCTTTTGTATTGAAATTTACTCATCGCCACGGGACAAACACACACTCTCCCCTAGAGTGAGACTTGCACTTCCAAAGCCGAATCCCACCTCAGAAGAAAAAAAAAAAGCTACCGCAGCAAAGTAACAACTCTTTGACGCAGGCGCACACAAGCCCTAACTCTCTTAAAAAAATACCCCTCAACCTCCCTAAATTTCTACCCTTCGGCTGTAGAGCCAGGAAAGGAGAGGAAGGTATTAATACGATTTTCTTTTAAAATGTAGTGATAGTATCCATGAAATTAAGGGAGGAAAAAATCACTCAAGATTTGAGCTACAGGAAACCAGAGGAAGTTGGCGACAGTGATAGCGTTTGTGAATATTTATTTATTCAGCCTCATTCAACTTCGCAGTTTCACTCTTCAAATCACCATGTCTCTCTTTTACGTATGTGCACTTTACTGCACTGTTCCTGTTCTCCACCCCCAGTTCTGTGGCACAGACACACACAAGCACACACGATTCCCCCCTTCTCTCTCACACATTCACACGGCCTTCGTCTCTCCCACATCAAGCGGACACACACTCATCCACCCTCCCCCTCTTTTCACACAAACACCCATATTCACACTCCTTCCTCTCCCCCAACACCAAACACACTGAGACACCACCTCCCCCGTCCACGCACACTTTACTGCACTGTCCCTCTTCTCTCCCGAGGTTTGTCACTCACAGTTACACTACACTCACACCCTTCCCCTCAACACTTTACTGGTCCGTCCCTCTTACCCCCCTTTGTCACACATGCAGCTAAACTGTCACTCACAACCCCCTCTCCCTCTCTGCACTGTCCCTCCCCTCCCCCCGTCACTGTTACACTGCTATACTCTTGCTCCCAACCTCCCCCCATCCCATCCCTCAGTCTGCACTGTCTTCTTCTCAGCTTGGTCACACTTGTACACAGTTACACTGTTATACACACACACAACCGCTTTGCAACACACACACAGTCACCCGCGCCGCTCCCGCTCCAAACACCACCCCCCCACACACCCCCCCGAGGCGGCCGGCGGCGGCGCCGATGACCTCACGGCGCGCGCGCGGCGCGGCCCGGCGAGGCCGCAGATTGGCTGGCCGCGCCTCCGCGGCACTTCAAAGCCGGAGAGGGAGCTACAATTGTGGTGGAATGGGCGGAACTGATCATTGTATTGCACACCTCTAAAAAAAACACTGCCTCTGATTTATCAATATAAAAAAGATCCTCTGAGAGGAGGAGGGCACTTTTGTGTGATGGCAACTTCACTTCTAGGGGTGAGTCTCAGGATTTTCTCTTGCTGGTTTAATTAGTTTCCTTTTATTGCCGATCGGAGGGGGTTAAAGTCGCCCCGGCCAGGCCACGGGCTATCAGTCTCTATTGAGAGCTTTTTTTTCCCCCTTTAAATACAAGTGAGTTTGGAGAAAAGAAAGGGGGGCAGAGGGGGGCAGAGTCACTTTTTTCAGAGCAGGAAAAGGTTCGAAGGGCATTTAGACAAGCCACCTCGCAGCGCCCGGCCTCTCCCCGCCCGGGAGACGTGCGCCCAGCCCATTTTACGTGCGACGATTTCGAGGGTAAAGAGAGCAAGTTTTTCCTCCTGGGCAAACTGCAGATTTTCCCTCTTCCCCTTAGAAAATTCCGCAGCCCGCCTTGTCTTGCAGGTACGTTGAACCCGTCTCTCTTTCTCTTTTTTACTATTGTAGACTTTTTTTTTTTTTTTAAAGAAAATCAGGAAGAGCGAGCCAGCCCTATAGTTTGACGTCTTTTGGCCTGGGAGAAACAACCCAGGATGGGTTTCTGGGGACCGGAACAGGATTTTCAAAGCTCTTCTGTGGATTACAGGGGTAGCGCTCTTAAAAGCAATCCAATGGTTTTTCCCCAGGCTTCTCCGCAAAGGAATCTTCCTTCCTCCCCAATCTGGACTTTTTGCTTGCTTGTTTGTTTCGAAGTGCCTGGGGCCTTGTGTGCGTTTTAGCTGAGAATACTTGTCAAACTCTTCTTTAGCATGGCGCTTTGCTCCCGAATCAGACGCCGGCAGCCAAACTTGTCCCCTCCCATAGAGTAGAAAGCAGCCGGGCGCCGGGGCTGTTGGGGGAGCCAGGTGAGTTGGTGGCGCCGCGCCGCAGCGAGAAATGGGGTGCAGTGGGGCGTTTTGGAGGCTACCGGAGGACTAATGCACATTTCCTTCCTCCCTCCCCCACTGGCCCTTTGCCCACCTCCCCTCCCCCACCCCTTCTCCTCTCCTCCTTCTCTCAGGAAGAACCGAGGTTGGGATCGACTCCTTTGGCCATGCTTGCTGCTACCTGTAATAAGATCGGCAGCCCCAGCCCGTCTCCCTCCTCCCTCTCGGACAGCTCATCTTCCTTCGGCAAAGGCTTCCACCCCTGGAAACGTTCCTCGTCCTCCTCCTCCGGCAGCTGCAACGTAGTGGGCTCCAGTCTCTCGAGCTTCGGCGTGTCGGGCCCCTCCAGGAACGGCGGCTCGTCCTCGGCCGCGGCGGCTGCCGCGGCGGCTGCGGCTGCGGCTGCGGCCCTGGTGACCGACTCGTTCAGCTGCGGCGGCTCGCCGGGCTCTAGCGCCTTCTCCTTAACCTCCAGCAGTGCTGCCGCCGCTGCCGCGGCAGCCGCCGCCGCCGCCTCGAGCTCTCCCTTCGCAAACGACTACTCGGTGTTCCAGGCCCCTGGCGTATCGGGGGGCGGCGGCGGCGGGGGCGGCGGCGGCGGCGGCGGCTCCTCCGCGCACTCGCAGGACGGCTCCCACCAGCCAGTGTTCATCTCCAAGGTGCACACCTCTGTGGACGGGCTGCAGGGCATCTACCCGCGCGTGGGCATGGCGCACCCATACGAGTCGTGGTTCAAGCCCTCGCACCCCGGCCTGGGCGCCGCCGGCGACGTGGGCTCGGCCGGCGCCTCCAGCTGGTGGGACGTGGGCGCGGGCTGGATCGACGTGCAGAACCCGAACGGCGCGGCGGCGCTGCCCGGCTCGCTGCACCCCGCCGCCGGGGGGCTCCAAACCTCGCTGCACTCGCCGCTCGGAGGCTACAACTCGGATTACTCAGGCCTGAGCCACTCAGCCTTCAGCAGCGGCGCCTCTTCACACCTGCTCAGCCCCGCCGGGCAGCACCTCATGGACGGCTTCAAGCCGGTGCTGCCCGGCTCCTACCCGGACTCGGCCCCATCGCCGCTGGCCGGAGCTGCGGGCTCCATGCTGAGCGCAGGGCCGTCTGCGCCGCTGGGGGGCTCCCCGCGCTCTTCCGCCCGCCGCTACTCCGGCCGCGCCACCTGCGACTGCCCCAACTGCCAGGAGGCGGAGCGGCTGGGTCCGGCCGGGGCGAGCCTGCGGCGCAAGGGCCTGCACAGCTGCCACATCCCGGGCTGCGGCAAGGTGTACGGCAAGACGTCGCACCTCAAGGCGCACCTGCGCTGGCACACGGGCGAGCGGCCCTTCGTGTGCAACTGGCTCTTCTGCGGCAAGCGCTTCACGCGCTCCGACGAGCTGCAGCGGCACCTGCGGACCCACACCGGCGAGAAGCGCTTCGCCTGCCCTGTCTGCAACAAGCGCTTCATGCGCAGCGACCACCTCAGCAAGCACGTGAAGACGCACAGCGGCGGCGGCGGCGGCGGCGGCTCGGCGGGGTCAGGCAGCGGCGGCAAGAAGGGCAGCGACACCGACAGCGAGCACAGCGCCGCGGGCAGCCCGCCCTGCCACTCCCCGGAGCTGCTGCAGCCCCCCGAGCCTGGGCACCGCAACGGCCTGGAGTGACGCGCACCCCGCCCCTGCCCCTCTCGCCTTCCCCCTCCCACCTTGGTCCGCTTGGGCCCTGTGGGTCCTGGCCTCAGTTCCAGCCTCTCTACAGTGCACCCTGCTCACTCTCTCTGTCTCTTTCTGTCCGTGTCCCTCTCTCTTTTAACTCCCTCAGTGACAACTTTGTAAAGGGAATGTGGACATGTAAGTAACACGCGTTGCTCTCCTGGGCCCTGGCTGTCTCTCTCCACCGGGTGACACTGTCGGAGCCCAGTACAGCCCAAGCCAGCGCCTTGCGGGGCCTTTAATTCTGGTCCTCTCCTCCTCGTCCTCCCTCCGTCATCCCCAGCTTTGACGGGCACATCTTCTAGAGGAAAGCGGCCACTGGAGGTAGAGCTGGACCGATCCAGTGCCTGGGAGACCGGGGGCCTCCGCACGTGCGGTTAACAACTAGGCTGAGCAAGGTTGAGCAGCGCCGTGGGGAGGGCGAGGCAGTAGGCCCACCCATGGCCTCCCCCCCCCCCCCCCCCCCCGGGCTAGCGACTTGGTACCAGAACCTCAGTCTTGGGCGTCTAGGCTGCGGAGCGCCCTGCCCTGCCGCTGCGCGCCGCTGCCTGTCCTGCGCAGAGCCGTCGGGAGCCCATCTGGCGGCACCGAGACCAGAGTTTCCTAGTTTAGCTCTCCGACGTCAGCTCTGCCTCTTTTTCTTTGTTCCCTGGGGTGGAACCGAAGCAAGTTTCAGCTAAGGGCAGTCTTGGTGAATCGATGCAGCAGCCTTCTTTTATCTTTATAACTTTTTTTTAATGAAAAAAAAAAACTAAAGAAAATAAAAAAACAGCATCCTTCCATTTGGTTTCCCTTCTAGATAGCTTTTCCTCTAGCAGTGAGCAAGTCTTTCTCTCGAAACTTTGCTAATATTGATCCCAAAGTTATTTTGATCGCATTAACTTAACTTATGGGTTGGGGCTGGGGGTGGGGGTGAGGGTAGGTGTCTTTTTCTTATGCAAAAATACCCTTTCCGGTGAGACCAGATTAACTATCTCCGTGTTTGTTCTTTTCTACCTCGTTTTCACCACTCCCGAGCATAATCTCCTTTTTTTTTTTTTTTTTTTTTGCTAGTCTAGCCGTCAATTTGTATAGTACCCATTTCTGTAAATTTTTGCAATTCGTTGAAGATTCTTAGGGTTAAACTTTTTTTGTGTGTGTGATTCAAACTTATAAAGAAGTGAAGAAGCTGTCGTTTATTTCAGACGAGGCTGTAGTTTAAATGCCAAAAGGGAAAATAGAAAAAAAATTGTAAGATATATCTGAACCTAATGGTTTGTACAACTGGAGAATCGTTCTAGATTAGGTATCAATTAACTATAACTCCACCAATGTATGGGTGCGAGGTGCAGTTGTCCAGGAGACGATTTTGTATAGTATTTTTCTTGTACATTACTTCCAGTAAATATTTGAAAATATATTGAAGTAAACTTGATTTTTTTTTTTTTGTCACAAGAAAATATTAAGAGTTATTCTTGCAGTTCTGATGAGCTGCAGGTTTATTGAACTCACTTCTGGAGGTGCAGAGCCACAAACGCACTTTCCGGGCCTAGTTTTGCTCGAGTATGAATTTAGATAGGTATCAAACTGTAACTAAGACAATATTTGATAAATGTGGGATGACACTTAATTTAATGGAGCATGTACTTATTTGCATTTGCTGGCAGTTCAGGCATAGTTAAAGTGAGAGTTCACCTATATTTCATAATAACTGGGTCTGCCAAAACCCATGTGTTAAATAAATTGTCCAAGTGAATCTCAACTAATTTTGGCCTTTGTGTATTTCCTAAAGGTAATATTGTTAACTGTTAATAAACACTCCTGACACTACATTTAAATGTTTGCAGATTCTGCAAACTAATTGCTCATTGTAATGTTGAAATAATTTGGATATTTCACATTGAAATGAAAAGCCTTTCTCTGGAACATTTTAGACTTGCATTTTAAATGCATGAAATGTAATTGATTTATTTGTAATATTTTAAATGGTATTAATAAACTCAGATAAAAGACTAGGTCAGTTAATTTGTATTTTTTTTCCTTTTTAAACTATGGACATTTGCATTTATCTTCAGTTAAATGTCTAATTTAAACAAAATATAATCCTGTTTGTGGTAATATTTAAATAATTGCCTTTAAGATATTACTTAGATGGAATGCTATATTTGGCAAAGCTGTGTTTTCTCTATTTACCAAGATGAAGACTGTAGTGTCTAAGAAATGTAATTAATTATTTACCAGTAGATTTAGCTCCAAGCATCAGGATTTACTGACCTCTTAAAATTTGTACAAAGTCACCAAACAATTTAAAGAAATTTCTCTGTTCTGCTTCTTCTCACTCTCCAGAAGGATTCAGGTTGTTGGCCATTGATTGCATTTGGTATTTAAAAGGCCACATCTTACACTAGAAGATCAATACATCTAAAATAAAAACATGGGTTTGGGGATAACTTTTGTTGTTAGGGGGTGGAGGAGGTCAGGCTAACAAAAGCAGGTTTTTGGCATTCCATGTCTTAGCTAAAGATTATGTAGAGGTAAATATCAGTAGTAGATTCCTGTTGAAATGAGTTATCTGTTCTTTTAAAGTCTCTAAACAGCCACCAAAGAAAAGGAAGGTTAAACCTTAATCTATCTACTAGGCTACTGTCCATAGGTGTCAATGATGCCAATAAAAAAATATTGTCTTGTTATGTCTAAGTGCATTTAAGCAATGGGTGTTCCTTGAGCCATACTTTGAAACATAAAATACTTTAAATGTTGATTGCTGTTTTATCAAACTATTTCACTATTAGATTAATATTATTATTTTGAAACAAACAATAAAAAGTTAGAGTGTTCAGATTCTCATAAGTTTAGCTTCTTTCTTTCTGTTTGCATTCCCCCACCCTAAGTTCAGTCTCGGTGTGCATCTTGAACTAAAAATTTTCCAATGAAATTTATATAGTCTTTATGATCCATAGAAACGGAAGTGAAAATAGAATGCTATAAATACTGTAATTTCAGAAGAAAAAAAACAATTAGGGATAAAATATTTTAGAATAATGCAGTTTGTGCCCAAGTAGCAGAGTGCCTTAATCCTGTTGCCTATGCTGATGTTTGAGACTTCCAATCCTATGGTTTTAGGCAAGCAAGTTAGCTCTGATTCTTTGCTATACTATAGCTCTAAATAATGTTTTTAAAAAGTAAAATAGTCTCCTTCGTCACTTTCTTCCTAGGAATCACACACAGAACACAATTTAAGTGTTGCTTCTTTTTTATTGAAAGTTGCAGAGCTGAGGGATTCGGAGAAAACAGTTCTGAATGAGTTAAATGTAGTGGCAGGTAAGCAGAAAGCAGCTTGGTACATTTATAATATCAGTTGTATTATACACAGAATCACATTTGATTTACGAAGTGGGTGATGACAAGGAGAGATATTGTCTGGAAGAAGATTTCTTTGGGGTGGATGAACGGGGACAGATTTTTCTGTAGCATAGATGTTCAAACTTTCACTTTCTTCCTTTGGCTCCTCCTCTCTGTTCTACCTTTGGTTTATTTTGTATTGTTGGTTATTGAGCAATATTTCTAGATTCATTTTCTGCAGGGTGGGCAGGGTTCCCTTTTGGGGATGAACATCTTTTTGGAGGATAGAGGATGAAGTGCAAAATTGTGGTTTCTTCCTGCTTTATCTGTGCTAAAGCACCTCTTAACAGTGCCTGCAGGCTCACTCAAATGAAGCCAAAGTCTTGGTCTCACTTTGAACCAAGGGACCAGCTTCCAGTCTTACAGATCAAGGTAGAGTTAAACTAGTTGTTGACCCAGAGGTCAGGCCAGCATATATCAGTCCACCCTCTGGAGACTAGAATAGGACTGCAGCTCAGTCCAGCTTTTCTGTTAACCTGTCTCATTTCTTCCCCAAACTTGAGTGTTTCTTCCTTATCCTGCTTTTTCCTGTTCTGGTCCAACTTCTTTTTGGATGATGTCTTTTGCTTAGGGACGTGACTGTGATTTGTTAAGGTTGGGCTATCAACAAAAATATTTTAGGCTAAAACTTAATTTAAACAAATGTGATGAGTTTTCCTCATCCCTCTCCTATAACAACTGATATTAGAAAAAGTTCCTGGATGGGTTTGCCCTCCTTCCACTGTCCTCTTAACTCCAATCTTGGTATAACTTCTCAACTGAGGTTCCCGTGGGGACAGAATGCTGAAATTAAAAAAGACAAGCACGTGATGAGACTGGACTCCTGGGCGGACAGATCGATAATCCTGCCATCAACATTTTCATCTCCCCGTGGATCTTTTGGTTTGATTATTGAATGGAGTATTACAGAAGGCCACTGGAGGAATTTTTTAAACAAATATTTTATTTTAGAGGATTAGCTCAAAGGTCAGATGATCTTTTTGGCTGGTAAATTAAGGTAGGAACTTTACAGAAAAAAAGATTTGATTATTCTCTGGTTGCCTAAAATGGTAAAGATGAATATTATTATGAAAGAAGTTCTACATTTTGCTCAATTTTTCATACAAATAGCCTCAAAGAGGGGTTAATTTGATGCAGGTATTTTGAATAAACTGGGGCTTTTAATTTCCTGCTGCCTTTTGCTGCTTCTGTCCAAACAGGCAGGAATTATTATTTCTTCTTACACCCCTAAGAAAAACTCAGGTATGATCAAGTCTCCTCTCTCTCTTTTAAAAATATGGTTTCTATAGTTGTTTGCTTTTTCCCCCCCTTTCTTTAAAAAATGCCCCAGCAGATTAATTCTATCACTGTCTTTAAAGAAAATCGTTTTAAGGGATCAACAGGAGTGAAGTGTACTCATTTTTAAGTTAGGACTGTAGTTCTGGGTGGCATCCTTTGAAGACTTTGCTCGATATACAATTGTTGCTGTTGTTTAAAAAGTAAGATTCAGAATTTGCTTTCGCCCTATTTATTCCCTGCTTCCGGATTAAAGGAAAGCCGATAATTCCTTGCTGTCCTGGGCTCCAGCGGCTGAG